TTTCCATTAATATTGGCGGTGTAAAATCCTACCCAAAATTATTTAAAAATCCCACTTATTTCCAACTTTGTATAAAATCCCACATATTTCCAACGTTGTATAATACATAAATTCCACGTATGTCCAACGTTTAATAATACGTAAATCTCACGTTTTTTATAACTTTAGAAACGTTGTCATATAAAGTTATAAACCGGGACATTCCAACTTGGAAAAAACATTGTTTCCACGAAATTTTTTTACTAGGGTATAGTCACTATACCCTAGGGATTTTTAAATAATTTTGGGTAGGATTTTACACCGCCAAAATTAATGGAAAAGTGAAAAAATATTTAAAAACATTACATTAATTGTACAAAAAGCAAATACACTTTTGAAAAAAAAATATTGCCAAAAAAATCTTAGCCAGTCATTGCCAGGAAGGTTTTCTTTTAAACAACTAGGTAATTATTACTCCTTTGTTGTTTAGATATAACTGCAATCTTTTGTATCTTGTTTTATAAAAGATTATCCATTATCCGTAGTTGTAATCATTACACTTGTTATATGCCTTTTTTAATTTCATTTAAGGCAGAAGGCCTCTCAAATACATTAGAATACGTCCCTCTATATTTTCTGTGGTTTTGGGAACATCAAAGCGGGTAAAATTATTTTAAAGTAAATTTTTCCAGGCATCGTTTTATATAGCCCTAAAAATCCTTGCTAAAAAGCAACCTTTTTCAAAAAAACACTTAATTTTTTTTTAATCAAATTGTTTAGGTTATGTGTTATAAATAAATATATTTTGCATATATGTCATGCATATAGGTATTTGCCTATTATGCATAAAAATTACCTTATCTTTCAACTATATTTTTCTAAAAAACACTGGACAGAATTGGCAAAATTTGGCGGGATGTCAACACCCTAGATAACTAGGTAAAGATTAAAAATTAATAGTGACTATACCCTAGTAAAAAAATTTCGTGGAAACAACGTTTTTTCCAAGTTGGAATGTCCCGGTTTATAACGTTATATGACAACGTTTCTAAAGTTATAAAAAACGTGAGATTTACGTATTATTAAACGTTGGAAATACGTGGAATTTATAAATTCCACGTATTTCCAACGTTTAATAATACGTAAATCTCACGTTTTTTATAACATATATGTATTATACAACGTTGGAAATATGTGGGATTTTATACAAAGTTGGAAATACGTGGGATTTTTAAATAATTTTGGGTAGGATTTTACACCGCCAAAATTAATGGAAAAGTGAAAAAATATTTAAAAACATCACATTAATTGTACAAAAAGCAAATACACTTTTGGAAAAAAATATTACCAAAAAAAATCTTAGCCAGTCATTGCCAGGAAGGTTTTCTTTTAAACAACTAATTATTACAGTGTTGCCAATGTGCACGGTTTGCGTGCGTTTTCATGCCTGACCGTGCATTTTGCGAACATCGTGAGAAACCGTGCCTTTTGCGTGCGTTTTGAACATACGACATTAAAACATTAAAAAAAATATTTAAAATACAATTAGAAACTTGGCAACATTAAAATTAAAAAAAAAATGAAAATTCAATTAGAAACTTGGCAACTTGACATTGTGGGCGGGGTCAGCAGTACAATTTTAAATTTGCCGGTATTTATAGTGCGTAAGTCACAAAAAAGATGGCGTGAGCAATGCTTACTGGGTAGAATCCTTCTACGCAGGCTCACTGAGCATGCGCCTAAGACACTTTAGTCACTAGAGTCTAGTAGAGAAGAAGGCATCTTTTTTTTTACTGCAAGAACATTAAATGTTAATAGGTATACATCTACGTAAATAGGTATAGGTACTTAGTAGTATATATGTATATAGTCTGTGGTAGTAGTACTACCGTAGTACCATAATGATTGAACAGTGATAGTACTGATTCATCTAAACTTACACCCAAATTACACCACAATAAAAAATTGTAGAAAATTATACGCCACTGCCCATTTAAATAATTATTATAGAAATTTAAATAAATATTATAGAAACAATATTTCTATGAAAATGCTTAAAATTTTAAAAAATAGTACTTTTATAACACAAACAAAAAATACTGCGTGCAAAACTTGCGCATTTTGATTCCTGGGACCGTGCAAAACCGTGCGTTTTGGAGCACTTCACCGTGCAATCTAACAAATGTTCATTGGCAACACTGAATTATTACTCCTTTGTTGTTTAGATATGACTGCAATCTTTTGTATCTTGTTTTAAATCTCACGTTTTTTATATATTAATAAAATTTAAAGACTCATCTAAAGTAATTAAACTGAGAAAACTTAAGAACAAAACACAAAACTTAAGCGCAATTCTTGTGGAGAATTAGTTTTTTCCACGTGTAGATAGTGTAAAAGAAAAGAAAATACTCGGCCATGACAATAACAACATAGTCCAGTCGAATTTTAACAGCATATGAACATTCGTATTTGTCATGCATAATTGACGAGGTACTTTCATTGCTAATTTGTTCAAATTTTTCAAACGGCCATTAACATAAGGCGTTTAGCAACAGATCATGGCCTTAAATTGTTGTCGCCATACTACAAGTTAACAAAGGAGAAAAAAAGTATTATCCTGAGAATATTTCAATATACAATAATTTATGCGAGGTTCCTTTACAATCAATTTTAAATGAAGCTTGCGAAAGTGTCTTACGATGTGTGGGAAAGGAATCCGTGGAAAGCCGGTTGTTAGTTTTAATTTGCAAGTGAAAGTTTGATGAAAGTTCAAGATATATACCTATATAGGTACTAGTTTTAAATATAAAAAAGATTAAGAAACTATTCAATCTAATGAAAGGATATTTGTTACTTCATTGGTTAGTCTGCGAGGAAACCTTCGAAGTAGTTTGAAAAAATCCAAGATCATGGTCTAAAATGTTTTGTCGGTCGATAAGATAACGTTGGGTGAAAGAAACCGACCAAATAACAATAAATTAAGAGGCTGCTGTAAACGGGGAATTTAGGTCAGGTGAGATTTGACTTAACAATGCTTAATGGAAAGGTTTGTTAATAATTTAATAATGTAATGTTAAAATCAATTATTTATATTATTAAGTTTAAATATACCAGGCACCCAGAGATATAGAGGGGAGAATGAGCTTTAACGTGCGCCATAGCCAGAGCCGACATTTTGAACCACGTATACGAGGCGCGGTCAAAAATGTTGGTGTTTCTGCACGTTTTAACAGCAAAAGACATTTTATATCACAGAAATTCTCACAATATAAAAACACAACCATATTACAAGTATACAAAAATTCAACTAAACCAAAGATATCGATATAGAAAACAGATAGAAAAATCAGGTAGTTGTTTTTAGACCTCTAACCTCTAAAAACAATGTGGTTATGTACAACATTAATGTTGTCATGAAAGTTCACGACCAAAAATTACAAAATACCCGATTTTACTCGCAAGAGTAAAAAAATAATTGTATTTATAAATTTTCTAGCGCATTGGCCCTATTTTAACAAATGAATTTTATTTTGTGTTAATCAAGAAGAATGGTAACAGGATAGAAAAATAATAATTATGTATATTCACTAAATACACAATATCATCTACAAAAATTTTTAAGAGAAATTTTCAAAATACCCGCTGAAATATTTGGCCATAAAATTGGATGAGCAATGGTCCAAGCTCCTTCTCCCCCCTCTATATCTCTGCTGGCACCATACTATTTTTGAAGCATTTTTATGTTAATGTAAATTTGAAACCACCTGTAAAGGGTTGTTGAAAATAATTTAGGAAAAACATATGTACCACTATTATATATATATATATATATAATAGTGGTACATATGTTTTTCCTAAATTATTTTCAATATGGCTCTTTTTAGGTAAGTCTATAAAATTTTATAAAAATTGGTCAATATTAAATTTGTAAAGGGTTGTTGAAAATAAGTAGGATAAAAAATATATGTACCCCTTTATTCTACGGGTCCTTTTAGGCCTTACCGGTAAGTATATAAAATTTCATACAAATTGGTCAATATTAAATTGATGTTGGAATTAAGTAAGGTAAAAAATATATGTATCTTCCTTAGGTAAAATACAGTGATATACCATACCTATAGGTAGAATACCTATAGGTATGGTATACCACTTTATTTTACGGCTCCTTTTAGGTAAGTATACGAAATTTTATACAAATTTATCTACATTTAAAAAAGTTTTTCTATTAATAACATTATTTTGTAGTGTTGCATTAGTATTGCATTATTCTGTGTACATACATACCTAAAGTCTATTCAAATCCAAGCTGGACTAAATGTAAACACAATCTTCCGAATCGATCAATAAGAGCTCACAATCCGAGTCACACCATCAGAATCGACCAATAGAAACGAGTTATCACGCGTCTGGGCGTTTTTGTTTAGTCCAGCTTGGATTTGAATAGACTTTAGCGATATTATTGCAAATACGTATAAAGTTATGATATGCATATAATCAACGTTTAAAAAAAACATACATTTTCATTTAAAAAATGATAATGAAACCAATATATTTATTAACTTTTTAACCGTTAACTTAAACTTAAACTTAACACAATTTTTGGGTTATTTTATCATATGTAAATATATATTATTATACATAGTATATTTTGTAAGTCTTTAATATTATAAAAAGTTTATATTGACTTAATATGGCTTTTTGAGCTTGAATTATTCTATTGCCCAATATTTGACTATCTAGGTAGTTTTTAAACTAAGAATTTAAAAAATGTGTTGTCAAATTTATGGCCAACAAGAAACTTTTATCACTTTACCAAATCATATTACACAACACTGCGTGACGTTTACTTAGGTTGTCAGTTGTAAAAAAATTTGCGTATATAAATACTTTTAAATTAGTCGAAATTGGAAAGTTTATGCTTTCCTAGTTTTTATGGAAATGGTAAATTATTTAAATTTAAGTTAGTATATTATTTTATCTTAAAATTAAAATTTTGGTAGGGAAAAAAAACCTTTATTTACCTAAAAAGTTTAACAAAATAGCCCCACGGTGACTACCATGTCCATGGTATTTTAATTCGTCCTGTTTATAAAAATCTTTTTCAGAAGCGTTATCCGATTCAACTCCAGACTTGGGAACATGTTTATATTTTCCTTTTTCTTGACCCTGGGCAAAAATAACATGCATTAATTCATCTACTATAGAATGGTCCGATTGGTCTGTGGCTTTAAGTTTTCTTCTAAAAAGTATAGTGGTGACTCCATCCTTTTCGAAACCCATTGCCGCTATTAAATCATTTTTACCGCCCCAAAAATTATCCATTTTTGGAGTGGATCTGTCACGTGTGTAGTAATCAGCTATTCTGCTAGCTGTGCCTCTTGCAGACCCGATTATCATATCTGTACAGTCCATGGGATTAAAGTCATGCCGGGGAGTATAAGAATTTAAGGAACCTAAAAAAATTAAAATATAAAACACCACTTAAAAAATAAAAAAAACACTTAACCAGTTTTAAGAAAAATATCCCACCAAATCTTAATTTGAGTTACAGTAATTACAAGTAAATAAAAAATATCAATTTAAACAAACCAGAAACAATATTAATATTACTTTAAAATTTAAATATTGTAAATGTATATTGTAAAAGATGCGCTGGCGCTCTTATACACCACTACTTTATAAAATATTAAACAAAAAATAAGAAAAATCTATCCGGATCCTACGAAGGCGTAGAAGGGCCAACAAAAATTTTAGCCAAAACTAACTTTAATTTTTGCAATTTCTATCCTATAATTGTAATTTGAAATTACAATTTTAATAGGTTATAGCTTGTAATAACTTTTGGATCACTAGACGTTGGGCTAGCTCGTAGATTATGTGCCTCGAAAAACCGTCTATACAACCGTTTGTGGCATAAACTTTATGCAAATCCCGTTTCAATTTGTTGTAGGAATCGACATGCCGAAGATAATTTGGTCTCCTGCTGCTATATTGACGACGCGACGTCTTAATCTTCTTCTTCTTCGATATTCTACGCCCTTCTGATCTACCTAAAGAAGTATTTGTCGCACTACCTTTTGACTAACGACAAGTCCATGCTGAATGCACCTTAAATGCATCCACCTGTATCCATGTAATTGGGCAGAAGTAGTGATAAGAGACAGAATAAAAGCATAAACATTCTCTAAAGGACTAAATTTCCTTCTTACAAGATCGAGTCTTCACATGTGCCGTTCTTGGGCTTATAAATACGTTATGCTTGCCTTTATAGAGCAGGGGGGCTATAATTCCCACCAAAATTTTTGCTTAAAGTTCTGTGGGTTGCATTATACCCAAGTGCGCAGTGTATTACTTGTCATCTATTGAATCCGTGTATGATGTCTCAGCGCTCTATTCCTCTTGTTGCATGCGTGGAAGTTGTTTATGTCGCAAAGTGGGAAATATAAATCCCAGTAAACGTTCTCGATTTGTTTTTTTTTTAATTTTATGTTTTACATATTAAATATTGATTGTTTTTCTGTGTTTTTGAAAATTCAACAAATAATTTAGGTAAATGTTAAAGCACTGATGTAGGAGTATCATTATTTAATATATTAGAAAAAAGTATACTTACGCAAAATAGGGTATTTCTTTATTTTTTTTTAAATTGAAATTATATTATTTTAGAAAACCGCTTTTTTTAATTAAAAAAAAATATATTAAAATAATTTTTTTTGTTTATTTTTTTTTTAATTTACGTAATGAAATAGGTAAACAAAAGGACAGTAAAATAAAAATAAATTAAAAATTGTAGGCAAAGATGTTGTGTACTATTGTTGTAAATTTTTAATATTTTGCAACATAAATTGAAATTTATTTAATTAATTTATAAAATAAAAAGCTTATTTAGATGTAAAACATGTGCAGCTGTTTCAAAAAGAATAAGCAGTTCGCTGATGAAATTGGAGGTGATTCTAATGCTAAAGATGACCAACCTAATGTTTAACGTTTTTGTTTATTCATTTGTAACAATCGTGATTTTCTTTCAAAAATCACTACTTATATGATTTGAGCTATGAAATCAGAATTTACTAATTAAAAATAAACTCAATATAAAATCATCGATAATTTTTATTTGTGAACTCCATATGACATCAGTGTACCTAACGCGTTTAAAAAAAAATTAAGTCAAAATTTACTTATTGATCCCAAAATGAACTCAATATGAAGATATCAATGATTTTCATTTGTGAGTTCTATATGAAATAAATGTGATATCGCTTGAAATGCATATAGCATGCGATAGGTATCGGAATTTATACCTGGCGCCTCCACAACTTTTTTTTAAACCTAAAGCAAGAATGATTTCAATTTGACTCATGGTGTCAAAGTAAACTCACTGTGGGAACACATATATAAGTATACCCAGTAAACATTTGTGATATCACGAAAAAGTCACGACGTAACATGTCACAACTTGATATCTAATTCCCACACAGCACACTATGTCCATTGTACGTCCGGTCCAAACTAAGTACATACGTCCATGGACTGTATTGCCATGGAGTTTACGCTTTCCCATGTCCTTAGGATGTTCCAGAAAGAACACAAGACAAGAAACAATAAGATGGATGTTCAAAGTCTAATTTAGGACTCCTGCGGTCGATAACGGCTACCATACTAAATACATTTTACAAAAATATCAAACAAAACAATTTTTACCATTAACTACACTTAAAAAATAACAAATGTTTTAATTGTTGTTAATTGTTAAAATTGTTTTGTTTGCAAACCATGGCATTTTGGTTAAATTAATTTACTACATAAATTAATTTACTACATATATGTAAACCGCTTTAAAGTTACTATAGTAACTTTAAAGCGGTTTCATATATATGCGAATTGCGAAATCCGAAAAATGTTTTTATTGGTCCATTTGATTTGTCGAGAAAAGCGTTTTGACGTTTAATGGTTTTAAGAAATTATTTCCGCAAAAATATATCTATATATATATATATATATATATATATATATTAGGGATAGAACGATACCGATATTGATATCGGTATATCGGCATATCGGCAATTGTTTCCGATTATCGGTATCGTATCGTATCGGCAAGATAATTGCCGATATATCGGCAAAAAAAAATTGCGATTTTCACTCTTCAGTGCATAAATGAAATACTTTATTAAACAAAATAAAAAATTTTATTCTAAAGGTAACATTTTTACTAAAAAAGTAAAACAAATCCTAACACCACTTACAACAAATATACCTAATGTAGCAGGTACTAAATACAGTATATACTTAATACTTAATGGATTTTAAACAATACTTAGTTTTTATTTGCAGAAATGCATTAAAACAAAACAAACGAATTCGATAAAAATAAAAACTATAAATTCTGAATTCCTACCACAGTGGGCGGGGTTTGGCACTTGTTTTATTTAAGTGTATCTATTCGTTTTAATACACACTGAATAAGGGGCTTCCCAGAAATCCGAAATGTCACTCACTACCAATCACAAACGTTTCCTCGCAACGGAATTAAAACGGGACTTCCCCGATTTTTGCTTCGGTCGTGTATAAATAAATGGCATTATGTTTGCCGATACGATATATCGGTATATCGGTATATCGGCACGTAAATATAGGTATCGGCCGATATATCGTATCGGCAAAAAAAAGTGATATCGTTCTATCCCTAATATATATATATATATATATATAACTTCATTTTATATTATGTATGTATGAATCTTGCTATAGTAAGGTTTACATGGTGAACAATATATTGTATACTCCATTTGCTCTGGAATAAATTTAAGGTGTAAAACTGTTATCAATATTGTCAAGAGTGAAAAGATATTTTTGTAGGTTTTTAAATGTCAATAAGAATTATACTATAAGAAATATCATACTTTGTCCAAAAACAAAAAACTGGAAGAAAACCTGGATTTACTGAAACCATTGAATTCACTGTCCCAACTTATATGCGACGGGTCTCGTATACATATATTTTTGTATACATATACAGGGTGCACGGCACGACACGTGCAGGTTGGTTAAGCCATTAAACTGAAGAAAAGTAATTACAAGTCTATTAAAATTTGAAAATTGGAAAATAAATCCGCGGTTCTCCCATAATTGCAAAAAAAAAATCTATTAAAAACCAAAATTTGTTACAACTTTGTTATTCCTGAGAATTAAAAAAAAGTAAGTTTCGCATGTATACATTTCTACATTAACAATTTATAATTTTGTTGTCTACTTGATTTTGAGTTATCACCACCATCTTTAGTTTTGCTATGGCTGCCATAATATATTTTACATAGTTGGATAGTAAAAAAATCGATTTATTAAACTATATAAGTTTATGGTGCACCATCGCCATGGCCATTTTAAAAACAAAAGATGGTGATGGTATCTCAAAGTAACGAATAAATTGGATGAAAATGTAGATAAATGTGTATGTTAACAAGTCAAACTTACTTTTTTTTAATTCCCAGGAATAACAAAGCTATGAAGATTTTTGGTTTAAAAGGCTCTTCGTTTTTTTCAAAAGTTTCGAGAACAGCTGCCTTTTTTTTAATTTATAAATTTTATTTTAACCCTACCAATAGTGACGATACGCATAACAAAAAAAATGACGAGCAGCATAAGTACAAGTATAATTTCTATACATTTTAATTTAATAGTAAACAGAACTCGCAAAGAAGAAACGTTTATATGAACTCAAAGGTTAATTTTGAAGAAAAAAATTAAATTCGTTTCCGTTTTATTTTTAATCTATAAATAATAATAAACTTACAAAAAAGCAGTAGCATACCCAAATTTTATTTTTAAATACCTATTTGGGATGTTCCAGCGCCGCCTCTGGATTTAATTTAATTTACATTAAATTAAGCCCTTTGCCCCCTACTAAAAACCTAAAAGGTTTTTATCAAATTCGCCCAAAAAATAAATATTTTTTTAAATAACTTTACCACCCTGTCTCTCGAAAACGAAGCTTTAAAACATACTTACTTTTCTTCTAATATTTTCGATTTCTATAGATCACTAAATTTTCCCAATTAAAATCTGCGACATCCTGTATACATGTAGGTATTATACTTATAGGATACTTGATGCACCCTGTATAAAGGTAGTGTGCAAAACTTGTCTTATTAAATAATATTATTATATTTAAATAAACGTTGACTGTTAAAATTTTAGCCCATAATTTTATTTCATCCAAGGTCGGAAGTATGTTGAAGCTGTGATATACGATAAGAGGGTCGTCGCTATTGTGACTAGCGATGCAACGTGTTTTTAAAGACGTTGCAACGCTATTAACGATAGCCACGACGCTTTTTTCGTTTATCACAGCTCCAACATATTTTAAATATTCCCCTGCACTTTCGCTCGCGCATGCGCACTAGCTATGTCACGGAGTGATATCCCATTAAGTGCGTATTGCGCTTGAATGTCACGACTTGATATCCTATTGATTGTGTATTGTGGAAACATATGAATGCGCTAGTGATATCACGATGTCACGACGGGATTTCGGAGTGATTTCAATACGCAATCACAAATGTTTACTGGGTATATACAAACTGTGGGAACACATTTATGTATACATAAATGTGTTCCCACAGTTTGCATGCATATATGCATGCGTCTATGATATCATCACTGAGTCAGCAGTGATATCATAATGATGACATTAGGTATACATTCAGAATTGTTCCTGGGTACCTTATATTTTAATTTGATTTAGAAAAAATAATATTTGTTTAAAAATTTTAAATAGTTTTGTGGGCCAAAGCTATCTAGTCCTAAATGTTAAACTAAAAAATTGTTTTCCATTTACTATTAGAGAAATATTAGAAAATAATGATTTTGTTGTCCCTTTTTTACTCTGACTTATTAGTTTTTTACCTAATTGATATCTTTTGTATTGACCAATAAATAATTTACATGTTACATGTTCTCATTATATATTATGCTGAACTTTTGCAGTTAATTTCTAAGTTGGGAAAATATTATCCCAAGGCACTTAAGAAAAAACAATTGTATAAAGGGTCCTTTGGGATAATAATTTCCCACCCAAAAAGGGCTTTTTACCCAAAATTTTGAATTTTTGATAAACACAGTAGTTTAAGTAAACCAAAAAACATATTCTCCAAATTTCATTTAGCTAAGACGAAAATTGCCTTTTGCCCTATACCTAAAGGGTTAAGAAATGATAATATTTCTTTTTGCTGAAACCCCATTTCGAAATATTGTTTTATTAGTGTACCAACAAAATCCATAGCTACCTATTAAAAACACTAAATTGGTTATACTTTAGAAAGAAAAAACAATAAACTTACCTTACTTAGATTTATCCTACAATTGTAACCTGAACTTACAGTTGTAACTTGAACGTACAATTCAAGTTACAATTGAGGGGCCTAGAAGAAAAAGGGTTTAAGTGCATATTTGTTAGTTCTGATAAATGGCTTTAAAGTTAACTTGAATTTTAAAATTCTAGAAAAGAGTTAAAAAAACTGTGTAAATATTTTAGTTTTGTTTAAAGACTAAAAAGGATTATAAAGAAAAAGGAATTTTTCATTTCGCTTTTTTGTTAATTTTTTTTTTGGCTCAATACTATGGTCTAAGTTTCTTTCTTTTTTTTCTTTTTTTCGGATGGATCGTGCTCTGTTTTTATAAAATAAGTGGTAAATTGGCGGAATATGGTCCAATAAGGTACCTAAGTAAATTTTTGTGCTTAGCGGCTTTTTTTTAGTTTTTGCTGGAGTTACATGGCCTTCTTCTTCCACTTCTTCATTGATGTCAGGAACATAGTTACTATGTTGAATCCTCATCAGTCTGGACCGATGCCATAATCGTAACGCTGGCCGATGTCGTTCCGACCTCGGTCACAATATGTCGAAACGAGCTACTTGTCAAGGCTTTAGCAGCATAGACAATAGCCTATGTTTAACAGTAAAAGGTGCACTTAAATCGTTTTACCAAAGATTTATTTTAAAATATTTTGACAGGTTTTTAAAGAGAATAAGAAATGGCGCCAGGGAATGTAAAATGTACTTATATAATTTTACCACTAAGTTAGAATATTCTTTAGGTGTGATATTCTGCACTTAGACCATTTATTTAAAAAAGTGGACTTGAACCGTTTTACAAGCCCCTCAATTGTAAGTTCAAGTTACAATTATAGAATAGAAATTGTAAAAATCAAAGTTAGTTTTGGCTAAAACTTGTAACAATTTTGTTGGCCTTTCGTAGGATCCTGTTTAATTGTTTACTACTCTGCTTAATTATTATACTTTAATTTAATTATTATTATTATAAATACATACCTTTTTTAAAAACTTTAGATACCGATTCATTTTTTTTTTCTGGCGAAGTATTTTTTGAGTTAGTTGTGACTTTGGAAATTGGTTGGAAGTTTGGTTCGGATTTTGGTTCAGTATTTGGTTCAGTATTTAGTTCCGAATTAGGTTCGGAGTTTGGTTCAGAATTTGATTCAAAGTTTGGGTCAGAAGTAGGTTCTGGTTTGGTTAAATCATTTGGGGGTTCTAAAACAGAAATATACCATTTAGTGTTTTCATAATAGTAAACTTCAGTAAAGACATTATACATATATATGTTTTTTTATTTACTTTTACATACGTAGAAGTAGTTTGTAACAAAATTTAATAATCCATTTTTAAATATTATGCAATTTTAACCGATATTTTAAGATGTGGAAATTACAATCACCTGTAGTTTCTCTTCTTTTTCGACCTAAAATAAATCTTAAGTTAATTAATAAGTTATTTAAATTATGTTTTTATATCGCCAGTTTGTAAATTTTCAGATATAGTAAATATGCAATTGTGCGCCCTTATGCATTAAATTATAAAGTGGTGGTAATGCGTTAATAAGCCGTTTGTAAACAATGACTCTAAACTTTAGATAAAAGCAATAAAGATGCAATATGAGACGTAAGAAATGGGGATTTTGTAATCGGAGTGGTGGGGCAGTTCGACCCGGGCATATCACTTCTCTCTTCTGGGCCTACTTCCTGGTCAGAAGTTTTGACTCATACTCAGACTAGAAAGTAGGCCCTTACCAGCAAGAGCAACACTTTAAAATGTGCATTTGTTACATTTAGCAGTATTAATCAATATACTTATAATAGGGAACCCATAAATTGGGAGCGCACATTTTGATTTGTGCAATCATTGAACATTTTTTAGGATACCATTTTTATTTGAGAATATTTGTTTTTACTACAAGATTATTAGGTATCATTTATTTTTCACATTTCCAAAAAATATTCACAAGGTATTTTGTTTTTGTGAACAAAGGCAATAATAAAATTAAAAAATATAAACAATCGACCACACCCTTACGTCGTTAGAATAAAACTGAAATGAAATGCTCCGTCCCATAGATTAATAACCTCCGTCCCATGATACAAGGAAACATGGAATGCCATAGCGCATTGTAGCGCTGTCTCTCTCGCTCCTTATGACGTCACGTTCGTCAAAGATATCCACTTGTTCCAATGTAATTTTGAGGAGCGCGTTCGCGTTTTATTAAATTTACAATTATGACGGCCGATTTATTAAAACTGATTGTGAGAGAAAATTGGTTTGAGGTAGTATTTCTACGTATTTGTATTTTGTCATTGTGCCAATGTATTTTTAAAACTATATATGCAGCGCAAATAAAATAATTATTGTTTTTTGTTATGGTTATTATTTTAAAAATAATAGAAGTAAAATTTATAAACAAAGGGTGTTTTTATTTAAGTTTAACAAAGTAGAGGTTGAAAAACAGATTTTTCAAATAAATTTTTTCATTTAGGCTTTTGTTTTTGAATTATCGAACTTCTTTTATTTTGACATAAACCTTTTTATCTCCGTTATTAGGTTTAGCCCGATTTTGAAAGAATTAAGTTTCTTGCAATATTTAATTTAATTTATACAATTTTTGTGTTAAACATTTAAAAAATATATCATCGAACAAAAATAAAAATGTTTATGTTAAATCAAAATAAGGTCGATAATTCAAAAATAAAAGCTGTAATGCTTAAAGTGATTCCCTCCAACTTCCATGCAATAGTACAGACGTTCAAAATGACTACTGTCAAAATGCCAGGTGTCAAAATGCCAGGTGTCCAAATGACAGTTGTCAAAATGAAATGCGTAAAATGACATCTGTTAAAATGACAAATGCCTGATAACGGCTGTTAAAATGACAGCTGTCAAAATGACAAGTGCCCAAATGAAAGCTTTCAAAATGACAGGTACCTAAATGACAGGTGCCGAAATGACAATTTTTCTTAGAACCACGCGAGAAAAGCCGCGTAAATACAACTACGAATGAAACCTTTTTATTAATATTAATAAAAGGTGATTCATAACATTTATAGCAATAGTAATCCACATTTGCTCCATGAAACCCACACATTTGTTGATTTAAAATTTACGCGCGTATACAACTACGAATAAAACTTTTTTATTAATATTAATAAAAGGTGATTCATAACATTTATAGCAATAGTAATCCACATTTGCTCCATGAAACCCACACATTCGTTGATTTACAATTTTTTTGTTTTTCTCTTAATTTAAAAATTCAAATAGCAACTTCTTGAAAACTAACTGACATATTTTTGAAACAGAATTATATTAAGAACTAAAACACCTTTAATAAGATATGTCACTCAAGAACTCAACAATTTATGATTTTGGCGACGGGCGGGGTGGAGCGCGTAGGGGTGCGGGTGGGGGCGTGAATTCGTCCCCCTAGAAATAAAAATTGACGTGTCCACAGAATGTTGTCCACATTGACCCGTTGAAACGTTTGGGGGTACAAGTTTTCTTTGGAACACCTTGTATATTTTTTCAAAATCTGATTTTGGAAGCACATAATCTCATAAAAATAAATTAAAAAAAAAGATTTAATTTATATATAACTTTATAATGTTAGCTGTTACCTTTTATTAAAATTTTTACACATAGCAACAGCACAGTTTGGTATTGTAAATTAATCCCACACACATAAATAATTATAAAAACACAATACAAACAATAAATTTAAATATCTTACATTTATATATAATAATATTATATAGTATTTAGTATATAGTATATACACAGAATTCTCTCTGCTAATAAAATAATAATAACATTAAACATACTAATAATTACTACTTAAACAAAATATTATCATTAAAGACTGTATCAGCAATTTAAATATCTTTTAGTTTCGATTGACGAATGTGACGTACATGCGCGTGGCGGAGGAAATTTGGTTTCAAATTGAAACCAAGTGTTGCCAACTCGTGGAAAATTTCCCGATTTGTGGAAAATTTTAAGTGCCAAAGGGAAAAGGGAAATTTTAACATAAAATCATGTATTCGTGGGAAATTGTAAAGTAAAATCAATATTCAACTAAAACAACTAAAAATGAATAGTCCAATCAACATTCATAAAAAAAATTACCGAAAAAATGTTTACCCCAGTAGGTACTACTTTTTCTATTTAAAATAACGGTTAAAACAGTTAAAAAAGTTTGTGGACAGCCAAAGTCAATAAACCAGCGGCCAAATAGTGACGTCACTGATGATGGGGATACATCCTGGCCATACGCTCTATGTGAATCGGCACAAACTTGCGTACATAGCTTTCCTGCTCTATGCGCGCGGTGCTTCAAGGTTTTCTTACAATCACCGTTGCCGGAAGGCCAATGCTAAATTCATGGCTTAAATAAAATCGATTACTGGAAATTACTGGAAAAAAATTAACGTTGTATTTCTGGGCGAATACTTTTGGTTTGCATACAATGCAGTTAATTCTTAATTTTATTTTTTTAGCATCACACTTCAATGATCCAAGTTGGATCAAAGTTAACAGCTAAAGAAATTCACGCCATAAAAATTTTTGTTTTTACTGGTAAATTCCTGGTTCACTGACAGGACATCCAATTACTGGCAAAACGGCAACCCTGCTTACAATTTGAAATATACTCGGGGATCTACCGAAGTATCCGTGCGATTCACCCTGTTTTATCTGATTTTATCCGCAAACATCTACTTTAATCCGCAAACGTCTGCTTTATCCGATTTCACCTGCAAACATCTGCTTTTATACGTGAAAATCTACTTTCATCCTCGAACATCTAAACTGCGCACCACTCAATGTGTCGCGACCAAAAAGTTCGTCCTTTTTCAAAACGATTTAACTTTTTTGTTTCTTGAACGATTTTATTTTGGTCTGTGAAGTTTGCTAGCCTCATTCTCTGGTAATTCATGCTATAGATATGAAGCTCACTGTTCTTCAAGAAAATTTCCTACAGGGTGATATGTTAAATGGTGAAAAATTTCAATAACTTCATCCAAGCCCCGTTTGTAAAAAAATATTTTTTTTTCGTTTTTTCTTTGAAATAATGAAGTATTATGTCTTACCTTGAAACTTGTTTCAAATTTTTTAAATTGGAATCTTAGCAACGAAAATATGATTTTTTTTCCAAAAGAGTACATTTAAGGGTTTTTGAAGGCAATAAAATCAGTTTTTTAGGAATAAGAAGATAAGATGGTGGAAGATTGTTTCTTAAATAATTCTGAACAAGCGACAAGCAACAATTGTTGCTTAAACTTCCATTATTTTTAGAGGGCCTAAGCAAAGAACACTTTTTCAAAATAACATTTTAGTAAAAATTTGAAAAAACTAAACCTAAACCGATATTTACGTTCGTGACATGTTTTATTCAAAATTTTGACATCCTGATTGTGATTCAGTTGTCAAATGTAAGTTTCAGATAAAACCAAAATCACCAAGAATCAAGATTCGAAAACAACTCCTGGCTGTTAAATGTCTCAATAAAATACGATTGCTGGTTTTTACTGTTTTTTACTGTGTTTTGCATCTTTAGTACGTTATTATCATGTCGAGGATCAAATGATGAAAATTAGTTCTTGAAAAACATTAAAAACGCATTATGAGGGATATTCTTGATTTTTGCTTGTGTTTTTCCAAATTTCGAAGTTTTTTGCATAAGTTATTCCTTCCTACCTACATACCTACACCTATCTTACCTAGGTTACTTCCATTCTTTCTTTAAAATTTGCCGTTGATTTGAAGATGTTAATTCCCGTAGCTGCAGCAAAGTCTGGCATTGGCATTTTAATCATTTAAAGTTGCAGCTACGGGAATTAACATCTCCAAATCAACGGTTCGCAGAAGATTAAAAGTTATTATTGTTATTGTTTGTTACATTTTTATGTTTTGATTGTAACTTCGCATAAAATTTTAAAAAATTAACAAAAACATTTTTATTTAACTTTATTAACAATTAGGTTATGTAAGTTATGTAATATTATCCCAACCACTCAAACAAATTGCAGTAATTTGGCCCAAAAAATGAATCCCCAAATGGCATTTTAATCATAAATATCCCGAGTCAAAATTTAAATCGTAATTTAAACCTACTTTGACCTACCAAAACTGATTTAAAACCTGTTCAGTCTGTTTACTCCAATTTAGCACTAGAACAACCGAATTAATCTTCATTTGAACCGATTTAAACCGATTTAAACCTCTAATAAAATTTTTGGTTTAAATTTAAACGTAATTAGAACCGAAAAATCGGGAAAATGGACTTATCTGCCATGTTTTAGGTCATAAGTTGGTTATCTTTAGGCGAATATAAAACCGTTTAAGACGGAAATTGTCAGACTTAAGGATTAAATTACGATCTTAATTTTAATGCAAGAAACACGCCACCCGAGTCAA